CTCGTCCGCTGGGGTCTTGAGGGCGTGTTCGGCAGCGTCGAGGAGCTCCCCGAGATGCGCAAGGCCCCTAAGGCCGCTAAAGACGGCACGGTCGCCAACGGGAACGGGACCAAGACCGAGGACAGCGAGGACCACGAGATGCAGGAGGACGATCAGAAGCAAGAAGAGGCCGACGAGGAGGTCGCCCATCCCGTTGCGGCATACCTGGTCATGGGTTGTGTCGCCGTGCGGTACCGCAGCGACGGCGAGGTGGAGCTGGAGTGGGAAGGGAACATGCTCAACGACGGTATCGCCGACGCCGTTATGGCATGCCTCTTCTCCATAGAAAGCAGTCCCGCCGCCGTCAAACGTACGTCTTTTTTTGCCCTCCTTCTTGGGTTTCCTATTCCCCAGTCTTCCATTCTTTCCTTTACGCAGAAAAGTCTAACAGTTTTACAGGCTCCGCAAGTTCTCACACGCATGACCACGCCCCTCCCCCGCTCCCCAAGAACCCCCACGCAAACGTCTCGGCCCCGGAGCGCCTCGAGCGCTTCCTCATGTTCCTCGAGGCCCAGTTCGGCGCCGACAACGTCAACCCCGTTGCTGAGCCGCGCCTCCCCTCACAAGGCGAGGGAGGCGCCGACGAAGACGCCACGGCCGTCAAGGCGATCAAGGAAGATGGCGAGGACGCTTCCATGGACGTCTCGGGTGATGACGCACAGCAGGAGGATAAGCTGGCGGCGCGCCGCCGGGCTGAAATTGAGCGTCTGCACAAGATCGGCATCCCCGTGCCCGGGATCCGCATCAAGGTCGACAAGATGGAGGCCGTCGTCTGGTTGGAGGATTTGGAGGTTGATTGCAGCCACAAGGCATTCGCTGACCGCGTCAGACGTGTGTGCGAGCATGCTGCTGAGGTTACGGCTCCGCTCTGGGGATAAATTTGATGATCTCAAAATGGGCGCGTGTGGCGTTCTTCTGTTACGGCGTTGATGTGGTATGTAGAGTAGTCGCAGTCACGCAGTCGCAGTCACAGTCACAATCACAAAGACCTACGATGGCATGCAAGAGGATAAAAGCCGAATGCTCTTTTGCATTGAGCTATGTTACAGAGGGACTAAAGTTACAATGAAATAACAAGATGCAATACATCGCGTTGTCGAGACCCAGAAAGGTAACGAGTTATCAACCCAGATACTCCTTCAGCTCATCGGACTCTTCCAACGTGGTGCTGAAGGAAAAGGGTGTGAATGCCCAACCGGCAAACTCTGCAAACTTGGAGAAGGATTCGACCCAAGCCAATCTGAGAGAGTGCAGCATGGCACTGGTACCCTCCATCATGACCAAAATGGCAATGGCTAGGTAGGCCGTTAGCAAAAGCGATAAGTGACAGGATGGCAGCGGCAACTTACTAAGGAAAAACCACATGTAGAAGACAACAACAATCGCAATAGCACCAACGATGCCTTCGAACTTGAGCGCAGGGCCGAGAGTCATGGACCAAAGCACAGCACTGAGCTGCTGATGAGCAAGCGACAAGGCCCAAAGACGCAAATACGAAGCAGTATGGGAAACGCAGTTCAAGCAGAATTCTATGTGTAGTGTTAGTATGTAGCCTCAAGTGCAAGGGGCCGAGGTTCTTACCAATGGTGTGGATGATTTGATGAATCATGACTTCGCTGAACTCAAACTCCTCATGCTCCTCGTCGCCGTGAAGGTCTTGCGTGATCATAGCGACGCCTTCGCCATCAGACTCGAAGCTGGGGCGGCCGTTGAGTCCCCGTTCTTCCTCATCGTCACCATCGAGTGCACTAACGCGAGAGCTCTCGCCAATGCCCCTATAACCCTTGGCGCGAGCATGGTTGTGCTCCCAGCGGAGGTAGAACGGCTTCAGGAACAACAAGATGGGGACTTGAATAACAGCGAGAAGCAAAAGGAAGACCTGGACACCGGCCTGTCCAGGATACAGTTGCGCTCCTTCCTCAAGAGTACCGGGCTGCAAAAACATGTAAATCAACATGTTCAGCAATCCGGGCGGGTTGCGCGGGTTTTGCGGGTCGTTCCAGTTGACAGACCACTTGTAGATGATACAGATAACCAAGTAGCCGAAGATGGACTGGAAAAAGATCATGCCAGGAACAAAGTTACCCCAGATATCGATGGGTCTCTTGAAGTGCTTGGCGTTGACATAGGCGAAAATTAGAGAGTAGGTCATATGGGCCCAACCCAGAACGATACTCATCTTCATCTTGTAACTGTTGCTGAAGAGGAGATCATTGTCCGTGTCGTGCCATCTCCAATCCAGACCGAAGGGGTATCGGTAGCCATGATCATTGAGTTTAGCAGTGAGGGTCTGTCCGGTCTTGTAACCATCAGGAACATCCCACTTCCAGGCACTGTCGAACAGAGTCAACGACTTGGAGAAGACATCGTTGTAGATAAGACCGGTGAAGAGCGAGAAGAGGCCCATAACTAGGGCAATGTATCTTCCATAGTAGAGCATGGCGAACAACTCGAAAGTGACCTTTTTGAGAGGCTTTTCCCAGTAGATCATAGCCAGCGCCGCAGACACCATAATTACGGCGTGTCCAAAGTCGCCGAACATTACGGCGAAGAGGAAAGGGAAAGTAACAATGACAGGGAGGGCAGGGTTGACCTCTTGATAAGTAGGAGTACCGTAGGCGTTAACAATGGTCTGGAAAGCCTCGGTGAATTTGTTGGTCTTGATATACGTCGGCGGGGTCTTGTTGGTGCGTATCTCATTGATGATGGAAGGCACCGAAAGTCCAGCTCGGTTCGTCACATCCTGCAACGTGGACCGAATTAAGGGTAGGTCATTGGTCGGACACCAACCCTCCGCAATGAGCGTGCGGCGAGCACGGTCGTAAGAAAAGAGGTTAAGAGTGTTGTAAACCGCCTTCTCCTTCGTAATAAGAACCATCCAAGCAGACAGAGCCTGAGAGATCTGAATAAGCTCAGCGTTCAGGGTCTGCTGGGTGTTGCGAAGGACGTTCTGGACGTCGTTGAGGCGAGCGTTGACCTCGTGGATCTGGTCGCGACGAAGGTCGCTGTTCTCGTCGACGTTGTACACCTCGGCACCCATGGATTCGGAAATCTTACGGATCTTGGCTAGAATCTCTTTGCCATGAGCGAAGATGACAAAGACATTCTTGTGGATCTCCTCGTTGTTGGTAGGGTCGATGAGCGGCTCGGGAATCTCAGACTGGTTCATGTACAGGTTTCCACGCAGAGTTCTCCAGAGAATGCGCTCAAACGAGGCAACACGGTCTCTGTTGATAACACCGGCGACAAAACCAATGTTCATTCCAGAGAAAGACCGCTCAACCTCGGGGGCGGAGTTGTGTTGCTCAACATCCTGGAGGAGGGGAGCGTCATCGTTATCGCTAGACGCGCGGATCTCCTCGACATTGCCGTGAGCTCTGTCAAAGAAACCACCGGCTTCGCGGAGAACCCAGCGCCACTCAGTGAGCTCGACCTCGCGCTTCTTCAATGTCTCGTAGCTGTCGTTAAGCTGGAAGACGCGTTGCTCGAGACTCTGGCTTCGCTCGGCGAGCTCGTCAATCTCGGAGGTTGACGGGTTGGCAAGTCGCTCGGCATCGACATCGAACTTTCTGAGGGGGATGCCTGCCTTCTCCATCTGGGAGTAAAAGTAGCCTGACGCGCTGTTAGTTTTTCTTGCTGTATCGTCAAGGGGCGCGCAGTCGCAAGTAATGACGTACGCAACTGGCGTTCGACATTGTCAAGTCTTCGGATCTCCTGAGTGAAAGTGCGCTGGAAAGCACTGACTTCGCCGTTGAGCTAAAGGAGGAGCACAATGTCAGTTTCGATGAACCGACTGTCGTCGATGCTGCGAACGAAGGACTGGCAACGTACGTCTCGGAATTGGAGGAGACCAAGCTCTCCAAGGGCTGTAACAACCTCGCGACCGATTTCATTGGAAATGTATAGCTGCACCATACTCATGTTCGCAGAGCGAAACATGGTATCCTGTGCCGGAGCCATCTTGATGTATGACGGGAGCTCCGAACCGTTCGAGGGGGTGATGATCAAGCTTATTCGATGCCAGGACGAAACATAGAGTTGCCAAGTTGATGTCGTTGCCTCCGAATGCACAATGGGGCTGGGCCGGAGTTTCGGCGAAAGAGTTGTTCCATCCATAGTCTGACTCGCCACTTCCGCCTACTGTGGCGTGAACCGTAGGTGGACCGTGGCGGTGCCCTTGATAAATATTTTTACGAATTATCCACAGGCAAAATCTTCTCGTTTCTTTCCTCTACAACATCCAACAGGCGCACGAGACAAGACAAGAGGCAAGAGGCAGTCGCTAACTTGTAGCGATCTGTATGCCTTCAAATTGAAGTTTCTGTTTTCTTCATCGTGTAGCTTGCTGCAATGACAGCTGTATCTGCCTTCTCTTTCCAAATTCCTGACGGTAGCCTTGCCATTATGGGCTCGAGCTTCTGAAGCAGTCTTTAGCTCCAATCAGCTTGCATCTCCAACTAACATTCATTCAGCTGCCTACAGATGTACGTGATTATGGCGCTTTCGAAGCTTTGTTGGCGGTCCGCAAGGACACCAATGGTCAATCAAAGTCAATATGACGCCTAGAGCAAACCCAAAGTACCCTGCCAAGGGTCATTCTCCGTCGTGTTACAAAGTCTTAGCGTTTGCAATTAAGAACTTTGCGTCAATTTTCAAAGAGATACATTCCGTCGCCTTATTGATCTTCTTTTTCTTCAAAGAAAGAATGCATACCACTATGGCCAGTACGCGCTGCAACCCACATGATTTCTATGGCAGACACCTTGAGCTTCAGCATCCCATGACATGCGTTCATATAATTGGCTATAGGGTGATGTCATGTCTTTCTAGCAAAGTCTTTTTAGAATGGGGCATGAAGAAAAATGCATTGGAAACCCTGGGCACCAGGAATGCAGGCATGTATGTTTTAGATTTGATATCTACTTGCTTACTCGCCCTAGTACTACGTGTTGTTAAGCTACTTACAGCTCCTTCTTCTCCGACGAGCCAGCCGCGGGCATAGCTTTCCCCGACCCCGTGGGGGTCTTTACCGGCTGCGCCTTGCCCTGCTTCGCCGCGAAGGCGAGTCCAACGACCGAGATGATCATCTCGGTGACCAGTGTGACCATTCCCGAGCACGCCAACTGCCACGAAGCGATGCTGACGCTGCCAATCGGCGCTTTGGGGAATGACAAAATCCACTCGGCGTAATAGGGGAACCACCCGTACGGCAGCCAAAACATAGGCTCCTTTGAATACCAAAAGGGCAGGCCGTATTGCGGCGCCTTGGTGAGGAGCCATCGGAAACCGGTCAGGTAGGTATCGAATTTCGATCTCGCTGCTTCTTGACTTTGCTCTGTGGAAGGCAAACGTCAGCATGGTTTCCCATAGTGTGAACGGAAGACAGTCTTCGTCACATACTGCTCTTCTCCAGCTGCTCCAGCTGCTTGTCGTGCGTGCGGCGAAGCTTTGCCCATTTGGCGAACTCATCCTGGCTACTGGTTGCGTTCAGCTCCTTTCGTGTCTTCAAAAACTCGGCTTGCAGTTTACGATGCTGCCTTGCGGCCTTCGAGGTCGATATGGGAAGGTAGTTTAGCAACGTCCAAAGCTACTCGGAAGTCAGTCATGAACGTTCCTTCATGGGCCAGTTGGTTGGGTGTCGTGTCAGAGAGCAAACGGACCAGATTGTTAATGGTAGCAGCTCCGATGGTGTTAACCAGGTGGGAGAACACCTCCAGCACAAAGATGATGACGAGTAGAGAGGGCATGGCGGACACCCTTTTTTAAAACTCGTAAGCGGTTATGGTAACTATGAGCGCATGCTGCTGCATTGATTTGGGTGGGTGCAGGGCGAAGCTGAACTGAGGTTTGTCGTGCAGACGGTGCGTGACGGGATCTGATTGAGCCCTTTGGCGGCGAAAACGTGGTCCCTATGTCATTGCCCCGCGAGATGCATCTTTAGCGGGGACCTGAGCCACAACGCGGCAGGTAAGCAAGCCACAGTCCGCTACACCACACACACTGGGAACCAATCATCTCAAGCTCCTGCCTCTACATACCATCGGAGTACAACTCACCAACGTCCTCCTCAACGTTAGGATCAGTAACTGGACTTGGCCCATTTCCGTGGATCACCTGTCACTTTCGATTGCTGGTGTACCACTATTTACATACAGTTGAGTGTACACGCGCCGTCGTGAGCTTTACAGACATGCTCTGAGTCAAGACCACTACCTCACGCTTCCCAACGATACAACAATGTCAAGAGCTCTGGATAAGCATGTCATCGCTGCGCTGAAGAAAGGCGACCACCAGAAAATATTTGACGACATCTCCGGTCTCTTTGTGCAGCAGGAGGATGATCGGCTTCTCGAGATCGAGATCTTGGGTCCAAGCCATCCTTTGGGGCCGGCCGAACACCTGCTGCGAGATGAAAACGCCGTTGCGGTGCCCAAGCTCCGCATAGTACAGGCCTTCCTCTTCGCGAGGCAGATTTTCCAGAAGAAACTGGCCGGAGAGGTTGTCGGTATCGAGTTGCTGCTCGCTGCCACAAGCGTCATGCTACTTATGGATCCGGAGCACCTAACAGCCAGCAACACCAGAAAGCGCCTCCTTCTTGACGCAATCTCAGCGGGAGACAATGCACATGAGCGTCTGGCAAGAGAGAAATGGTTTGTCGACAGCTTGCTAACCAGCCGGCTGCATCGACATACAAAATCGCCCACGTTATGGAGTCATCGGCGGTGGTTAATGGAACAGCGCCGTCTTGCAGGACTTCCAGTTGCGGTTCAACAGGACATCGAGTTGATCGTCATGGTAGCTGGAGAGCGGCATCCACGCAACTACTATGCCTGGACTCACGCGCGTTGGTTAACAAGAATATTTCTGGCTGATGCCGAGCCTGAAGATCTGTCATCACTTATCCAAAGCGTCAAGAGGTGGTCTTTTAGCCATCATGTCGACGTCTCTGGCTGGTCGTTCCTTGCCCATTTGATGGAGAGACTAGACGGTTGCGGCACGCAAACCTCACTACCTGTCTTCGAGGAAACTTTAAGGCTGACGGAGTCTCTCCGATGGTGCAACGAATCAGTATGGTGGTTTTTACGCACAGTAGCTTTGAGACCGGCGATTGGGCAGGCCGGTCGAGAGGAGCTCACAGCTGTTCAGGAAAGGCTTTTGGTCGTGAACGCCGATGATTCCACAGAAGCCAAGGTGCTGAAAACAGCACAGCACTGGTACGAGTTGTTCGGTCTCCACAGCGATTTGGGAATTTCTGGCGCATTGGAGTAGATAGTTGTGGGTGGAAATAGATGCTGCGGGCGGGGGTCGCGTGGTCGGCACTTGCAGCAATGCCATCCAAATTTGGAGTTTACGTCGAGGCCCGAAGCCACTGTGACACGCTACCAGGTTGAGCCTTGGAATCGGTTCCTGCATGAGAGAACCGACAGCTATGTAAGTGCTAGCAGAACACAAGTGAAGGGTATCAAGATCAGCGTACTGGCAAGGACGCGTATAACTGACAACATTACTGCATGACAGTTCCAGTTTGATGGGACAATGTGGCACATGTACAACAGCGCTGCATACTCTGCAAAAAGCCAGCAGGATGCTCTGTGGAATGCATGTTTGGACTAGAGCACACTCTTGGAGAGCTTAAGAGCTTAGCCGGCAGCCACCCGAGCTGAGCAGACGCCGGTGTTCAGAGGCTGAAACTCATAGAGACCTCGACCCCTGTCAATCACACCCACATCCGGACGCTCTCGTGCACCTGCAGCGAATCTCAAAGATACGAGACGATCGGGACCTACTAGTGAGCGGGCGGGACGACGGCGGTGGCTTGCGCCGACGTTCTAAGAGACGTAGCATCCCATAGAGGACATTGCCTCCTTCTTGGGATTGGATAAGACATGTCAGAAGGGTACCGGTAGATGAGTAGACCGACTGCAAACAGTCGTGCCAACGTTGTCTGTCCGCCTGTCCGCTCTTGGTCTGGCGTCCACTCTCCCAGTGACAAACTGCAGCGATGCGGTCGGTCGGGCGAAAGCGAATGTGGCGCCACAGTCGGGTCAGGGACCCGTTGCTCGTATAACGACGGTTGAGACAAGGGCATTGTCAACTCGGGGTGACAGGCTTGACGAGTGCCATTTTGTCAGCTCGACGAGAATGAGATTCTAATCCGTACATGTAGAGAGAGCTGCCAGGTGTTGTGGAGTCGACAAGGAAAATCTTTGGGTAAAAGGACGGGGCCGGGTAATTAGCAGCCAGAATAGGTGGCTCTCCAGGCAAAAGATTGAAATTGGGGACCCGGGTCTGCTTGGCCCGGTGATTCTCACAACACCTAAATCGAGCATCAGTTGCCTGTGTCCCCTGTTTAACGTCTTGCTCAGTCGGCCGATCGTCCATTAGACCCCGGATACAGGCCCTCCAGTGTCGGGCCTTTGCAGGCTACACCAGCTAGGGACCCCCAGAGGTCGCAAGTCGAACGCAGAAAGCGAGGTTGAGGCGACTGGCATTGTGGTGGCTCCAGCTCCAAATACAAGCGAGGACAAATTAGGTAACAGGAGCAAAGCCAGACCATCTCCATAGGAAGCACGAGCCAGTTTCAGCGGCGTCCGCCAGTTTGTTTGATCGTTGAACTGACGTGGATGCGTGGTCGAGCAGGTCGATCATATGGCGGGCTCGAGTCCGCCTGCCCGTGCACGTTTGCGGCCGAGGATCCTTCTAGACAGGTGACAGATCACTAATGGTTGCAAGCAGTCGTCATGGTTCTATCGAGAAAATAAGATAGTTCCTGGATCGCGGCTGATCTGTAGGCTTTTGCAGCTACGGAAAACGTGCAGCGAGTCACGAGAGAGTGAGACAAGAAACCTCAGTGAGAGGCCAATTTGGACGAGTTCCCAAAAGGGACAGCGACGGTGCTAACAAGGGGCATGACCTGGAGAGACACTGGAGAAGGTGACCCGCAGTAGCATCGAGGCAACTTTGGAAGTGGAGTCTTCAAGACACCCCTTGTTTTCTAGGCGCCAAAGAAGGCTAAGCGTCATATGGTGGCTGCGGCTATCAAATGCCTTTTCGTATCTCCACACGTTAGCCGCCAAGCAGGGTTGGGCAAGAAGCGTTGCACTACGAGGTCGCAGCTTGATAATGGAGATGGTGGTGATGTTGATGTTCCATCATCATCATCATCATCATCATCTCATCATTATCATCATGACATGGACGCAAACAACGATTGTGCCGAGATGCAGGTCGATTTGTCCCGCCCGGAGTGGAGTCCGGCGCCGAAGTAGCTTAGAGCAACGAGAAAACGAGGAGGAGTTCGAGACAGGAGGCGTGGAGGTGGCCTCAGCCAGTCGAAGAAACAAGCGCGAGGAACGCATGCGTCTGGAGATGGCGATGATTCCCACCCCCGTTTAGTGTACGGATACTGTACGCAGCAATTTAGGACGCCGAGGAAGAGAACTGGAGTCGAGGCGTTTGGGCCCCTGAAAGAACAGTCCTAAAGGAGAAAAGAATCGACGGTCGGAGGGGAAGACACGCCAAACAAATGGCCAATCAGTGCAACATGGTGACTTGAGTGGACGGGCCGAATTGGCCGGAGAGGGGAGTTCATCTCAAGATGGTACGGCTACGAGAAATAGACTTTGTTTCTCTTTCCTTTTATCGCAGGCACTGCCTAGGTAAGCAGATTTAGGTGAAGGAGTACGGATATACCGCGGCTCATCGTTCCTTGGTTCTTCCTCTCTGTCGCTCGACAGGTACCTCCTGCCATGTTTCCTGTGAGAGAGCGACCTGCATGACACCACGGGGCCCTGTAGACTCCACCACAAGCGTGACACTGAGCCAAGCGGTTGCCATCTGGTGTGTCCAGGGGGTGGCCCCCACCCCCAGCGAGTGCCCAACGGGCGTTTGCTGCGCGAGACACGACACACTGGCAGAACTGACGAAAAAAAAAAAAATCGACACTTTACCTACATAGGTAGGTAAGTAGGTAAGGTACGCTAGGGGGACGAAGGGAAGGATGAAGGCGGAAAAGTGAGAGACAGAAAGAAAGAAAGAGAAAAAGGAGAGGTTGCAGCCAATGGGGTAACGCCCGCTTATGCCATGCTAGAAACACTGCACAGCAATACTCCCCCGTGCCATTGCATGCGGCGTCAGTAGGTGCGCAGCATGCGACTGTCACCCATCCCTCGCCGACTACTCCGTACACTAGTGCAAAGGTGGTTAAGAAGGCACCGAGTACGTAGATGGAGAAGGCCTCTCGGAGCGCTGAAGCGGCAACAGTTGAGCAGCAACGGCGGGCCGGTAGATACTTAGCACGGCCATTCAGCACAAATAGGGTACGGCAGAGAACAAGTACTCGCTTTGCCAGATGCCCTCCAAGGTAGGTAGAGCATATCTTGACTTCTTTGAGTATCTGTACCTCTCCTGTATGGCTGCAGCTCTGGACCTGCCGACTATACATCCATGCCAGCCAGCCACTCATCACCACCATACACGAGGCACCATGACCATGCACCATGTCCGCCACTACCCTTCCATTCCACTTTTTCCACACTTGAGTTGCGCACCTCCACACTTCCCAATTCGATCCCTGGACCAGTCCATCGTCGCTAGAGCCTTAGCTCGCCTGGGTCTAGCTAGTTATCCAGGGCTCCTCGCTCTCCGATTCGCAAATCCCCATATCTGCGAATACTCCCCTCACGATCATCCCCTCTCCTTGCCTCTTGCCTTGCCTTGCCTTGCCTGACCTCTCCCTCCTCACCTCTCCTCACCTCACATCGCCGTCTAACCTAACCATCCTTCCTCTCTCTACCCTTCCTCCTCTTTCCTAAAGGACCTGACTCGCCCCTTTCCTCTCCGACTTGTCGATTTATCCATCTACTCTTTCCAGTCGCCGCTTCGTTTTTCTTGTCTTGTGTATGACGCGGATATAGGTAGTCAGGAGAACCCGCCCATCGCGTCTGCGTCTTCTGCCCTGCCCTTAGCTCCTTAGCTCTCGCCCTTGTCTCATCGTCTTGCATCTTGTCTCTAGCAGTTGTTGCTGGTAACGCCTCCCTCGACAACCCGTCCCTCTGTTTCATTGTCCTGCCCTTTTTGGCTCGACCGGCCCGCGTACAGCATTTTCAGAGCCACACGCCAAGCTCACATTCAAAATTCGCACATTCCCCCTTACACCACCACGTCTTCTGGCCGTTATATACTCGCTCTCGACCAGTTCCTCGATGCGCTCGACTTAATTCTTAATATCATAATCTGTCCAACACCACCGCGGCGTCTGGAACCCGCTGCCTTGCCCGAGTTTGAGTCTATCAAGGCCGATAAAGCACGCATTACTTTTGCTTGAACCGTTTTCCGATCACTCACGCACCCCCCCCCCCCCCCCCCCCCCCCCCTTTGGAATTGACTTGAAAGCGTTTACCTTGCTCGTGCGGCTCTATTATTCACTGGCCTTGCATTGACCACCCGCCTCCTCGGTCACGGTTAATGCTTTGCCTAGTCGACCGGCATCTTGCTCAGCTATACGATGCGTTCTGCCACCTTGGTCTACCTTTCGCTGCTCTTCACGTCCACACACGCTTTCTTTCCCTGGCCTAGTCCGGAGTGTCTCGAAAAGGGCGACTGCGTCTTGCCAACCAAGAGGCAGTTGAAGGGTGGAGATGAGCTCGGGTCTGATGTTGTAGATGCCGTCAAGGTTATCAAGCTCCCCGCCTCCCAGCTCGGCCCTCAAGCCACACACGATTTCTCGGTAAGTGGAGTTGCCTTGTCTAAATGATTCCTATTCGAATGCTTCCCTTGTGCTTAGACACTGGTTTGGGGACTATGTGTTTTGTAATTGTATCCGGCGCCGATGTCATGTATTTAAAGCTAATAACCCAACTCGTAGACAACAAATTCTGAATCCGAACGAGTTGTCCGCGAAGTGGAACGCCTCACCCGCAAATATGCGAGATTTCAATCCGCTGCCGTCCGTGAGAAGGCGTCGAGGTCCAAGAGACAGAGTCAGTACCGTATTGTCAAGGCTGCCGATACCAAGCTCAAGAACGCGGTCGGTGTGGCCCAAGATGGCACCGACTTCTCCTACTTTGCCCAGGTCAAGCTTGGTAACAACAAGAAGCCTATGTGGATGCTCATGGATACTGGAGCCGGTACCAGTTGGGTCATGGGTTCATCGTGCAAATCAACAGCGTGCGAAAAGCACGGCTCGTTTGGCCCTCCCGACTCTGCAACGTACAAGGTCACCGGCGAAACCTTTTCCGTCGCCTACGGATCTGGCTCTGTAAAGGGCGACAAAGTCACCGATACTTTATCCTTTGCTGGTATGAATTTTGACTTTCAGTTTGGTGTTGCCAACGAGACCTCGGATGACTTCAACCACTTCCCCTTTGACGGCATCCTCGGGCTTTCGATGGCAGGCGGCGAGACGGAAAACTTCATGCAAGTTGTCAAGAACTCCACGCAACTTCCTGCCAACATCTTCTGCGTGTATCTGAGCAGGGCAGCAGACGGACCCAACATGAGCGAAATCAGTTTCGGTGTATGCAACCCTGACAAGTACACTGGCGATATCACCTACACCGCAGTTGGGAACGCACTTGGTGATTGGGCAGTTCCTCTGGACGGCATTGCCTATGATGGCCTCAAGTCTGGCGCGGCAGGTAAGCTTGCTTACATTGACACCGGTACCTCGTATGTTTTTGGTCCCAAGGACGATGTTGCCGCGTTCCACAAGAACATCCCCGGATCTACTGCGGACGAGGCCGGCACAACCTACAAGGTGCCGTGCGACAGCAACAAGGATGTCACGTACACCTTCTCCAATATCAGCTATATTATTTCCGCCAAGGATTGGAGAGGCGTCCCTGGCGCCGATGGTACCTGTATAAGCAACATATACGGTCACGAGGTCGTGACGGGAGCCTGGCTCCTGGGCGATGTCTTTCTCAAGAATGTCTACACCGTCTTTGATACGGATCAGAAGCGTATTGGTGAGTTTCGACGGTACTCTTGTGCTGTACGTTGATGTGTGCTAACTGTATATTTCAAAAGGATTCGCCAAGAGAGTCGACCCACCGCCAGTGACGACCACGTCCAGTAGCGACTCCTCGACCACGCCACCAGTGGTTGGTAACTCTGACAACGCCAACATTGGGACTGCTGTGCAGACGCCCAAACCCGGGCTCGGATTGGGCGGTCATGAGACTGCCGCGTCGGCAATTACCGCGTCGGCAACTGCCGCCGCGCAGACTTCGCCCGTATCCCATTCCGGTGCGGCATCGTCCGCCTCTCTCACTGTGGTCAAGGCAGCCACTGTCGCCACTTTTTGCCTTGTTGCCTTGCTGGGATTCCACTGAGGAGTAAGATTTTTTGACTTTTAAGCGCAGTGATCTGACGATCGCGAACCCAAATGGGACACTGGATAGTTACGTGCACATGATACCCCCTTCAGGGACCGACACAGACGGCCCCCTACATTACGGCCATTGTAGATATAGATATAACTTGTAATGGTAAATAAAAGCGTCTGATTCTTGCTGGTCAAATCACGGCTTCTTTCCGATCTTCTCATTGAACTAGCCAGTCTTCGCCGGTTCCTGCTTCTCGGCAGATCTTGATGTACGATGGAGACTTGATCGAAAAGAAAATCCTGTGATTCACTATTCCTATTGCTTTTGCCTTTGTTGTCAAGGCCTCTCCCACGCTGCCCCCGTCACTGCCCTGGCCGAGTTTGCTTTTCCAGGTGTGCATACGTCTGTCAAGGAGAGTAACCATATTACAACAAGCCACAAACAGTTGCTGCGAACACACTGTCGGCTGGTACAACGTCTACGCTCAGAAAGTGTATTGGAGCCGTCGCAATGGAACAGTAGACGCGTGGGTATTTTTTCTCTGTTTGTGATGAGCGTTGTGTCTAGACTTCCTCTGCGTCTTCTTCAATAATACGAAGTCTTGCTTTTTTGTTATACAATAACACACACCCCCTTTCCCCCTTTCGCATGGTATTGCTTATAAATTCTCTGAGTTTTCTACCATGCTGTCCCAGTCTGTATCAGAAGACTGTCATTTTCCTACTCTTGCCATGTCTAAAATAAAACAGAGGAGCTCCTTTTACTCTTACAGGTACGATCCAGTTACATGCACTGCGCCGGCCCGCCATCGTCTGTGTACAAGTTAGCACCGAAACGGTGTGAAAATTGGAAACGGGTGTAGGGGAGTAGACTTACTGCGAATCATCTTGGCGATCGCTTGTACCAAACTGATCACCATGACCAAGGTGCCAAAAACGACGATGCCCGCGGCAACGTATGTCTTCCACGACCGGGTAGTGAGCTTGATGTAGCATAGCGGCGGGAGAATATACGCCATCGCGCACGCCGAGGTGGCACCCACGAGCTCAAAAACGACGCCAACGTCACATGTGAGAAGACTAATGACCATGGCAGAAACAACGAGGGCGGAGCTAAAGATGAGGTGGAGGTTCATGTTGAAAGGCTCGCCCGGGAAGAAGTAGTTGAACATAACTTCGCGGCAAACAAATCCCTCGAGGGGAAGCGTCGTCAGCATGTTCAGACCAAAGCACAGTCGGGCCAGGGTGACCATCACATTGTCCGAGGGGAAGTTGTTGAGAACGTTGCCGAGCGTTTTGTCACCAAAGGTTAGAAACCCTGCCAGGGCCATCAAGAGGCAAGCAACCATGGAGATGCCGGTCGAGTAATGCGTGACGCGTGAAAAGCGGTCGATCGTCGGTGTTTCGAGGGAGCCATAGATGAGAAGGGAATTGTGGTGGCAAACGAAGGCTAAGGAGTGTCAGAGGAGCTTGTTGGTGAGATGGTCTGGGGATCGGGAGCAGGGAAAAAGGGATTTATATACCGAAAGAAATCACACCGATGGCTTCAAAGATGCCGGTATTCACAGTCAAAAGGGCGGGTGAGAAGGAACCACGCTCTGACTTGGGAGTAAGAGCTCCCTGAACCACGACGGTTGTCACGATGACTCCCATGCTAATGAGAGCCAACGTGCTTGCTTTCGCCAGCTATACAGGTCTCTTTAGCTTTCGGTCCATATACCGTTTGTATACCATATTACTCACTTTTGCGATATCCCGGTATAAGGTCAACGGGTAGCTGATGCCTAGGACAAAAATCACAATGACGACCTGCCTGTTCGCCAAGAGACCAAACACCGGCATCTGCCTCAAATCGGGCCAGATGGCCATGAAAACGGGTGGTATCGAGTCGCCGACGATGATTCCAAAGGCGACCATGCCACCGAATGCAAACGCCCATTGCGCAACGGAGATGGCGATGAGCCCAGTCCTGCCGAAGCAGTGTTCCACTGTCCCCTGGAAACTGTTGCTCCCGGAAAGCTTGCTGTTAATGACAATCAGGCAGATAGTCCAGTCGACGACAATTGTAAGGACGACCAGCAGGATGGTGCCGGCCAGCAGTCCAGCCTGCTTGAAGGCGTAGGGCTGACCGATGATGCCAGCGCCAATGATGGAATTGGCCATATTCATAAAAGCCATGCGCAGACCCGACTTGGGTCGTGCGCGCTCCTGCTCAGCCCACTCATGTACGTCTTCGCCGCCGGCGCCCCAGGGACTGTTGGCGAGAGCGACCGAGGGAGCCTCGATGTCGGTCAGCAGGGGCAGGCGGTGGTGCTCGTCGTGGTCGTCGCCGCTGGGTGCGTGCTGGAAGAGCTCGTCGTCGACGTCGAAGCTGTCGCGGCTCTGGCGGGCGGAGCCAGTGCTCCTCGTCATAGAGGCGCGCGGCGGCGGCGGTTCGACAATGGAGGGTATGGGGTTGAAGCGGACGCGGTTCGGCGTCCGTGGCGTTCCGGGCGAGCGGAGGGATGTCGCATGCTTCGTCACAAAATACCCGCCGCCGGCGCCGCTGGCGACGCTGCCGTCGTGAGGTTCATCGTGGGTGAGGGGGTCGTCAGAGAGGAGGCTTCTGTCCTCTTGGCTTGGTCCGGAAGCAGCTTCCGGGTGGTGGGAGTCGTTTCGGTTGGCTCCATGAGTTGGGGCCTTGGCCATTGTAAGTTATTGCGATGTCATTTTCCGGCAAAAGGGGGTCTGGGGGGGAGGACGACGGGATGGTTGGACGGGCGAGGCTTCGTAATTGTTGAAGGTCGTCGTTCGTCGTCGTCGTCTAGGTTCGATTGTAGTAGAGGAGGAACTCAAATTTGCGACTGGGTATTTCTGTGTTCGTAATCGCAGGAGCGTTTAACTGTCGGTCCCGTTCTGTCGACGTTGCAAGCTGGAGCTTACCTGACCTCAGATGAGGGTACGTACCCTCTCTCTCCCTCTCTCTCTTCCAAAGTTAGGGGACCGGGAGCTGTCAAGATACCGAAGCGCCTTAGACAGGGATGCATGCACCATTTAATGGGGGTAGTCATGTACTGGAATGTACCAATTGGTGATATCAAGGTGAAACGGTACAATTGATTACTTCCAGTACCCGACTGCCGACTAGGCATTTTCCGCTCTCCTCCCTACCTGTTTTTTTCACCTGTGTCTTCCACACAGAAAACCGGGCGGATTCACGGCCAGCGGGCGCCTTATCGATGAAAAATATTCCGACCCAACTCTGCGATAACAATAACGAGCAGCACGCAGCTTACAGCGCAGTCAGACAACAAGAGCCTTTGCAACGTGCCCTTGAGCCGCCGAAAGACGTCCAGGGTAAGACACTGCGCCTGTTTAAGTGCTTGGTCTGGCTGACGACCTACCTATTGCTTACAGCCGAGACATTGCCTGCGTGTTGCCGACTAAAATCGATTGGACGCCCGCTGAGTTTCGAAGACAACCACTCGCTCGGGCCCAAGCTACCGTACCGACAGAGTGTCAAGGGCCGTGGATGACATGACGCCCGCTTGCAGCTCAGCTCAGCTCAAGTCTTGATCGGCCAGTCAGTCTCATGGCTGCCGTAGCCCCGCCATCACTCTACCGGTAACATTTGTTTCTGTATGTAAGGGAGGAGAGTCTCTCTATCCCTCACATCCGAACCGAGTCCACGAAAATCAGCGAGGCGGGGAAACCAATTCCTCTTATTTCTTTTTGCACTACACACACACACTTGCACACACCTACGGTATTCTTGCGTGTCTCACTGCTTTTACGTGACCCCAGCAGCCAAGCTCGCGCCTAATCGCATTCACTCATTTCATACATACGTACCAACCTAGGTACCTACGGTATTCTGAGATACAAACTTGTAACTGTTCACTCGCTCTTATCTTTCGTCACACGCCCCCCCCACACACCCCGCCGGCGCCGAGCTCGGCTGTCGCCCGGTTCCCCCCGCCCGCTATAGACATGGACACCCCGCCGGCGCCATACGGCACCCCCGTCTCCGCCGGCACCGACCCAGCGATTATGCAGGCGCTCTCGTCGTCGGCTCATATTCCTTCGTTCGAGTCACATCCCTCGGCGGCCACGGGGCAGTCATCAGCAGCAGCAGCCGCCGCCGCCGCCGCCGCCGCAGTAGCTGCCTCCACGACAGGAGCCGCCCAAAGCCGCCCCTGCGACATCTGCCGCCAGCGCAAGACACGATGCGTCCGCGAGGAGGGCCTCGACAAATGTGTCATGTGTTCATTCCATCGACAACCGTGCACGTACCTTCGCGGCCCGCTCCCGCGCAAGCGCCGGAAGGCTACCGATCCCCCGGAACAGCGCCCGTCCACTAATGGTTCCGCCTCAGCGCCCGCAGGTCCTCCACCCGCTCCCGTCCCGCTGGACCCTCAGGAAGAGATAACGTAAGTGTGATGACAGTTCCTTATCGCGGCATACACCTCTGCATGAACGAAACTCCGTGGCTGACTTCAGTCAACTGTACTGGCGCACCATGCCCTTCCTCCTTCATACGTTCTCGCTGTTCCTATTTGTTGAACCCATATTGCTGGTCGCTCCAGCCCCAGACGACCTTGCCCCTCCTCCATCTACACGTCTCCTTATCATTGGTTCACTCCCTCCATTTAACGACATTCCTGGTCTAACAGATCTGTTCGTACGTGTAGACAACCCTCTCCCGAGTTGCTAGAGGCCCTTTCGCCTTCCCTCGCCGGCTCGGAACACGCCGCAACCTTTAACCAGCCCTCCCTGCTCGACGGCACTCTTGGTCTGCATCTCAAGACCCATTCCGAGTACGTTGGCAACACGAATTACCGGGAGCCCTCCCTGCTGGACTTACACCGGCCTCATGACCCGGCCGTCAGGTCCGTCCGCCGCCTTGATGAATCCACTGTCTTTCTCATCCACCGCGACCGAGAAACTTCTTCAGAACCTCAGAGAATAGCCGACCTCGACGCCATAGAAAAGGTCGTCCACCCCCTCGGCTCGACACTTGTGAACCTCTACTTCCGCATCGTCCACCCCAGCTTCCCGGTCCTCCACAAAAAAGTCTTCCTGGAGAAGTACGCCCGCTCCTATCATGAGTTCTCCCCGCCCCTATTGGCCGCCGTCTACCTCCTGGCCCTAGACTGGTCTCTCTACGACCGCACCCTGGCAACCTCCTCGTGGCAACCCGACCAGGCCGCCTTGGAGGCCCTAGCCCTTCGCACCATGAGCGATGACATGAAACGACCCAAGATCTCGACCCTCCAGGCGGGTTTGCTTATCCAGCAGCGCTTCCGGAACAATACCTGGACCTTTATCGCTCAGCTCATCGCCCTGGCACAAGACCTCGGCATTCACGTGGACTGCAGCGACTGGGCGATCCCGGACTGGGAAAAAGGCCTCCGCCGCCGCCTCGCCTGGGCGCTTTTCATGCAGGACAAGTGGGGAGCTCTCGTCCACGGCCGGCCGTCGCACATCCGTCTCGACGAGGACTGGGACGTGCGGCCATGCTGCGTCGAGGACTTCCCCGAGAACGCCGCGGACGAGGAACACGATCCGGAGGGCAGCGCTGAGGTCGTTGTCGGTCGCGAACTGTTCCTGCGCCAGATCAAGCTGTCTCTCATACTCAGCGACGTGCTCAGCACATTCTACACGGCCAAGGCTACCCGTCGCGGCGGCACCCTCGACCAGATCGGCACCGTAGGCGTCGCCGAGCTCGCCAAGCCCATCGTGATGATGCTGCGGGAGTGGTACGCCAAACTCCCGGAAGCCCTACAGCTGCAAGAGACGCGTCTCAAGAAGCTCTCAGCAAACGGTAGTCATCCCCCAATTCCTCACTCTCCGACACTCTGAATTTAAACCACTAACACTCCCAGGCTCCCTCCACCTCGCCTACATCTCCATAGACCTGGCCCTCCACCGCTCTCTGGTTCGCAACATCTCCTCCAGCGCGCCGCCGGAGCTCCGCGTCGCCATCCGCGCGGGCGCTCGCGCCCGCCTGGCCTCCGCCTCAGGCATCATCGCCAACCTGCAGATGGAGCACATCCAGTCCTTCTGGGGCTTCGCCGCCTCGGCCCAGCTCGCCGGCATCGGCTCGTTCGCGGGCCTCCTATGGGCCACCTCAGACGACGACGCCGAGGCCATGTACTACGCCGACCGCGTCGAGGAGTACCTCTGGAGCCTGAGAGTGCGCGCGCAGGCGGCGCCTTTCGTGAGGGAGGCGCTTCGAATGCTCGAGTCGGACGTCAGTGGGCTGGACGCCGTGAGGGCTGCCGCCGAGGTCAAGATGTAAGGTTCGAAAGGCCGTCCGTCACTGCCCCCAAGGGAACCGCCCGGGGTTGCGGTCATGGTGCCATGTGGAATAAAAATGTACATGGTTTTATTTTCGTTTTCTTTTTCTATCTGGGGAAAGTTGGATGGGCTTCATTCATGCGGCAAGCTTTTCGAATCTTAGTTTCTGGGATACCCGTACACAATACCTTGTATGAGAGGCTGACGGAGCCTTCGACTGTTTACACCATGTTATCTATCTTATAAAGCTGGCAGAAGCTCTTCCGAGCGCTACAGAAATTCATATCTATCCAAGCAACGGTGTGAAGCGCCTTTAGTCTAATCGAACTCTTGAAATAAACAAAACCGATCTATAAGTCATCAAGGCTCGCGCAAAGACAAAAGAACAGGGAAAGCGAAGCTCTTCATCTGCCTTCACTGCGTCTCAACAATAAGCAAGTCGTCGTACGGCCCAACAATGTCCCCCTCTGCAACCAGCATCTTAGCAACCCTGCCCTTGACGGGACTCCCAATCTTGATCTCCATCTTGTTCGACTCGATCCACACCAGCGCGTCGCCGACCTGTACCTCGTCCCCAGCCTTGACGTCGCACTTCCAGCACCGGCCCGGCATTTGAGCCTTGACCCTCTCGCCCGGCACGTCGACCTGGCATTCCTCCCTAAAGACGCCGCGCCTCTCGGCCTCGGGCGGGTGATAAGGCTGGAGCAGCTCCTCCATAAAGGGCGCGCTGCGGATCGCCTCCGCACGGATATTGCGGGTGGCCTCGATGTCGGCTTTGTTGGCCTCCAGCCAGGTTTCGTATGCCTCGAGGTCGAGGCTGCCCTCTTCGACTTTGACGAGATCCGCTATCCGATCCTGGGCGATGGCGGCGTCAAGGTCAGCTTCCGGGACGGGGTAGAAGGATATCCTGTCAAAGAGGCGGAACAGCCAGGGCTTGGAGTCGCTCCGTGATACAACAGCGGAGGCGGTAACGTCGTCCCAGATGGGCACCGTGCGCCCCACGAGCTGATACCCGCCAGGCGAATCCATGCCGTAAATGCACATGTACTGCCCGCCAATGCCAACAGCTCCGCGCGGTGTGTAAGAGCGAGAGGGATTGTATTTTGTCCCGAACAGGCGGTGGCGAGGGTCCAGGGGCACAGCGCAAGGGGAGCCGAGGAAGACGTCGCCAAGGCCCAGCACAAGAAAAGTGGCGTCGAGGAAGATGCGCTCGACGTCTGCGGGTGAGTCTAGGGCGTTGAGGTGCTGGAGGAAGTCGACGTTGCTCGGGAGCCAAGGTGCCGTTGCACGAATGGTGGCCACATAGCGGGCTACAGCGGCGCGGGAGACGGAGTCGTCGAAAGCAAGAGGCAGGTGGAATGTGCGAGAGGGGATGGAAGAGGGGACCGCGTCGCCTAGGGAGGCCTCATGCGCGCGGAGGGCGGAGAGAATCGTCGCGGGCAGGGCCTTAGATGTATATTGCACATGTAAAGTGCGAACCCCAGGGGAGAGCTCGAGAACGCCTGGGATGGGATGTGTCTTATGGCGGGCGATAAAGGAGAAGATCTGGAAACTCTGGCGAAGCGAGAAGACGTCTTCGGTGCCGAACTCGAGGAGCATGGCGTTGTCGCCGGCCTGACGGACGGTGATGCACCGGCCTGCGCTGCCGATGTCACCGAGGAGGGGGTTCAAGTCTGGTATTGTTGGGCTGTTGGCGAGGGGGTCCACGTCCACCGCCAGGGGTGTAAGGTCGGCTATGGACTTCTCAAGGGCGGATTCAAGAAAAAACGCATCGTCAACGGTGATGGGCTGGAGTTTCACCTTGTCACCTGGGCGGAGTTGGCCGAGTTTCCACATTTCGGCTGAAGCTACGACGCAGAAGACGACAAACCCGCCGAGGCTGGGTCCGTCGCAGGTAAGGATTACAGCTTCATCGCCAGTAAAGCTGACACTGCCGACGGAGTAGGGGCTATCATGGATGTTGGACGGGTGCAAGCCTGCTTCGCCGCCCGTTTGCCGGGCCCACTGTGGCTTGGGACCGTCGAGCCGGATGCCGATGCGGTTGCTGTTGTAGTGGACTGTCCACTCACCATCAAAGACTGTGTTAAATCCCTGCTCGGTGAAGTGCTCAGGTGCAGAGTGTTGTCCAGGAACGACACCGATAGACCAGTAGGCATTGATTGGGTCAGCCGGGAGGGGTATGGAGGGTCCAGAAGCAACCGATGGAAAGGTAGCGGCCATGCTGCCTATTGATATGAGGTCACCGGATCGCAGGCTTCGTCCGTTGTGACCGCCGATTTTACCCAGCGCAAAGGTGGAGCGCGAGTTGAAGACCTGGGGGACGGCAATGCCCCCGCGGATGGCAATGTAGCTACGACACCCGGATGTTGCGGTACCAATCAAGAGTCTCTGTCCCTTCCGGACAGTGATGCATGTGTTCAGGTGAACAAAGGCATTTTCAAGCCTGACTTCGGCGGAGGCCCCTGTGACAGCTACAACAGCATCGCAGTGGAAGAGAAGGTTGGGTCCGTGGATAGTGCACTCGAGACCAGCGGCGCGGGAGTCGTTGCCAACCAATCTGTTGGCAAGCCTGAAAGAATAGTTATCGAAGGGTCCCGATGGCGGAACGCCAACGTGCCATAGTCCCTTGCGGCCCGGATAATCTTGAACAGTAGTGAGAGTGCCTGGGTCAACAACTTCGAGGATGAGCGCATCGAACGGGAAACTGTTGAGCGATGTCGTGGTGAAAGCCCCGGATCTGAACATCTCGGATGCGACAATGCAGCGGGCGTATTCCAAGTTCGTCTCAATGCCCGTTATCACTGTTTGCTCCAAGGCATCAGCCAGCTTCGCAACCGCCGCCGCTCGATCTTCGCCCGTAGCAATGATTTTGGCTACAAGCGGGTCGTAGGAAGATGGCATCTCCATACCAGCCATAACCCAAGTATCGACACGTACGCCTTCTGGGAACGATACATCCAGAAGGTGGCCGGGAGAAGGACGAAAGTTTTGAAGCGGGCTTTCTGCGTAGATGCGTACCTCAATGGAGCTGCCCCTCACCTCGAAGCCTCCTGGGTTATCGACGAAAATATCCTCACTGTTGCCAGACGCGACGCGAACCATGCACTCAACCAAGTCCAAACCAGTCACAGACTCCGTCACTGGGTGTTCAACTTGCAGTCGGGTGTTGACTTCGAGGAAGTAAAACTCCGAGGTGTCGATGTCGTAGATAAATTCAATGGTGCCGACGTTGCGGTATTTAACAGCAGAGGCAAGATCGACAGCGGCTTGGCGCATCCTACTTCGAACATCTGGCGGTAGGAATGTGGCAGGACTCTCCTCGATGACTTTCTGGTTCCGTCTTTGCAACGAGCAGTCTCGCTCGCCTGCCGACGTGACGTTGCCACATCCGTCACCGATGACTTGCACCTCGATGTGACGGGCGTTCTCGATGAAGTGCTCCACGAAGACACCAGCATCGCCAAAATTAGCCTGCGCCAATCTCTGAACACTCTCGAATGCCTCGACGAGCGAAGCAGAATTATTGCAGCGCTTCAGACCGATCCCGCCACCGCCGGCAGTGCTTTTCAGCATCACAGGATACTGTATGCGCTCTGCCTCGGCGACAGCCTCTTCTGCACTCTTGAGCAGTTGTTTACTGCCCGGAACAACAGGAACCCCGGCTCCAACGGCTACATCTCGAGCAAGGTGCTTCAGCCCAAGTTGTCTCATCTGATCTGCTGTTGGCCCGATCCAGATCATGCCCTCTGCCTCTACTGCAGAGGCAAAAGCAGCATTCTCGGCCAAGAAACCGTAACCTGGAATGATGGCGTCTGCACCAGCACACTTCGCGAGCGCGATGATCTGCACACCGTTGAGGTAGGTTTCCGAGACGGATTTGCCTTCGAGGGGAAGCGAGATGTCGGCTTCGCGAACATGGGGCGAGCGAGAATCGGAAGCAGAGTGGATGGAGATGGCTTTCAATCCCATTGAGTGCAAGGTTTTAATGATACGAACAGCAATCTCTCCACGGTTCGCAATGAGAACAGACTTGATGGCACTGACTGCCGATTTAGGTTCTGTAAGAGGGGCTTCAGAGGTGAGTGATGTGATAAATGTCCGCCAGCCTCCAAAGGATGTGATGTCGGTGGCATCGTCGAGTCCATAAGGCTCACAGATGAACCCGGGAGCCCAGCTTCCGTCCGCAAGCTCAATGGAGCCAATTCCGAGAGGCGAGGGAACTGTGCTCAAAAAGCTGCCCAACTCCGCTATAGGCAGGTTCCAGACTTCGACCTGAATAGCGCTTCCGCCATTTGGGGTGCGCTTTAACCCTGGCTTCTTCACCGTACCGCCGGAGTTGAGAGAATATAACTTGTAGTTTGGGGAGGTCGTCGTGGCTATTTCTAGTTTTCCTCCACGAGACGTCAGGTCTTTGTTCAGAGGGAACCCCGTCAGATGAGCACCTACCACCACAAGACGAGTCGTCTTCGGCTCGCCCCCGACGATAGCGACAGAGTTGCGTGCTTCAACTCTTTCCACCTTGGTTGCGCCTAATGGCCGGGGCTCGGTGGAGAGCCATTCTCGGGCCATAGAAAGCAGCTTGGGTTCATCCCAGGTCGATGAGATCAGCGTGATACCGAACGGCAGTCCATCCGACCTGAAGCCAGCAGGAATCGCCAGGGCGGTCCAATCCATGAAGTTGACGAAGTTGGTATAAGTACCAAGGTAGGCATTCTCCTTAATCGGCTCCCGAGCGAGATCCTCGATCGTAGGGAAGGTGGGAGTGGTAGGAACGAGGATGGCGTCAAAGTGGCCGAACTTGTCTTGGATCTCACGGGTAAGGTCCTGGCGAAGATACTCGGACGCGAAGAGATCCGCCGCATTAAAGCCCTTGGCTTTGAGAATGATCTCTCGCACAGTTGGGTCCATCTTGTCTTCGTGTTCCTCTATGAAGTCCCTGATAGCAGCGTAACGCTCAGCCACCCAAGGACCCTCATAAAGCAGGCTGGCGAGCTTGAAGAGTGGAGAGAAATCCTTTGGCTCAAGGGCCCACCCGATGTTCTCTGCCTTGACCAGTGCCTGCGCATAGGCTGCGGCTTGCTCCGCCTTACCGAACCATGGAGGGTTGTCACAAATTGCCATGCGATGGCCCTTGACTGTACTAGGCGTGTTGGGACGAGCTCTGGAGAAGGAGTCTTCCGGGTCGAAGCCCTCGGCTGCGGCCAAGACTGTCTCGGCGTCGTCGACTGTGAGAGCGAAGATGGAGACGCAGTCCAGACTGCGACAAGCCGGCAGCACTCTGGTTGTACTGAGGGCCCCTCTTGTGGGCTTCAATCCCAACAAGTTGTTCAGCCCGGCAGGCACGCGACCGCTGCCAGCGGTGTCAGTACCCAGGGAGAAAGGCACGGCGCCCCTTGCAACGACCACGGAGCTTCCAGAACTTGAACCACCACTGACCCTCGTGGGGTCAAAGGAGTTGGCCACTGGACCATACGGCGACCTCGTACCCACAAGGCCCGTGGCGAACTGGTCAAGGTTGGTCTTACCGAGTACAATGGCACCGGCTGCCTTTAGGCGAGCGATGACGGTGGCATCCCTGTCCACAGGCCCAGTTGCAAAGCTGGGACAGGCAGCGGTAGTAGGGAAGCTGGCGACGTCGATGTTGTCCTTGGCCGCAAATGGGACCCCGAAGAGTGGCAGTGAAGCACCCGATATGCGTAGGGATTCGGCGTAAGCCCATTGCTGCTCGATCTGTAGTTGGGTGGCCAGGGCAATCCACGCCTTCGAGTTTAACCTCGCTTCAGACTCACGAAGCGACAAAAGACGGACGAGGCCGCCCCCGGCCTCCTGTGCCTCTCTCCATTCCGGTATGGTGAGAGGGAAATTTTCTTGGGCAGTGGTACCTGTGGAAGGGTGAGTTCGTGTCAGTATACCCCTCTAGCGATTGGTATGGCCCAGCCCGGGAAGCACAGGTTTGCAGGGCGGGTTCAACGCACCCATCATGTACTATGCCAAAAGTATCGGGGTAAATTAAAGAACAATGCGAGTTATTTGCTGACCGCTGCTCGTCCCAGGGATAGCACTGGTAGAACTGGACTCGAATCCCTATTTATGGTCAGGGGCTGGTCTTGGATCTAACTGCAAGCGCAAGTTCATGAGAGAGGCCGTCGTCCGCCTCGAATGTATTGCTCGGCAAAGCCTGCGGGCTCTCATGTAAGTCGCCGGCGGGCGTTGTTGTATTCGATCCATACAATACTTTCGAGACTGGTTTAGGTACCTAGGTAGTCAAGATAGCCGATCCAATGATGGGTGCGGTGCGGGCTTATCGCAACGACGCTGAGCAGATGCAGATGCGATGCGATATGGGCGAGTCGGCCGAGTCGTCGGATAGCACAGACCCCTGAGCAATACGCTGTCCAAAGGGTGGATACCAACCAGAATATTGGCTTTCTGGGGATGTTGGCAAAAAGGGTAGACCTCGGCCAGCCCGGCGGCTTTGAAGATCCAGTAGGGCCGCCGGCGGGTGAGGTTGGTTTTTGGGACGATACTTGATGCCAACCTACCTACCAGCCGGTACCGGCTGGTCAAGTTCGACTCTTGCAACGTGGGGATTACCTAATTTTGGGTACCGAGTTACCTAATCAAGCACTTCCGCCATGGCTCGGCAACTGCACTAAGCCTGCCGCAAAGCGTGGCACAGCAGGACCAGCCACTGGGTTTACGGAATCCTGCCTTCAATAGCCGACTGTCACATCTCTCGAATATCCACCCAGATCAAAGTGGAGGAAGGACGTTTTGTTGCTCTAAAGTAGGGTTCACTTGGGAAACGTTGTCAGCAGCCACCTAAACCACCTTGCTACGTAGTTTAATTACAGTCTCCAGATGGGCTGAAAATTCGCTTTCTTCCGAAAGCTCAGCCCTTCCCCTCCCCCTCTCCCCTCTCACTCAAACACTACTGACATCGTCCGATCTCATCCGCGCACCTGAGTCGCCGTAATCGCCTTCACAACTTGCCGGTCTCTCATGTCACGACTGTTTGCCAAGACGGTATCAAGATTCAAGAGTGTGGGTTTTAGAAATCTCTTACGAGATCTTGAGTCGCTCGTGAAAACCTTCACATGAGCGGGCGACAACGCGACTGGATGATGTTGGCTGCGTATGTTATGAAGTGCGCCTTCCAATCATGTAGTGGCCGTACAAGTGCGCTCATGGTGTGTATGCCACACGATACGACGTTTTTCTCGGGCTATCTAGGTAGGTATCCTCTGCCTACCTAGACAGTCCCTTTCTCACCGTCTTTCTGCCCGGACATGGTAAAGGCTCCCTCAAGAGCTTTAACGAGACTCCTGTCGCTCCAACCATATAGACGCTGCTTCAAGCAAACAACCAACCGCCCCCGCTGCCTTGATTGGCCAACATGCAGGGATGCGAGTCGAGCCGACAGGGATCCCTTCGGAGGCTGGCGCTTGCGCCTCTTCCCCATCACATCCTACTGCCCAAAATAGCCAACCAGAACTGGAGCTGTCTGAGACGAGGGGGTGTAGTCCTGCATCAATCGCGTCTATTGTGTCTTCACAAGTCACACTGCATTGCATAGGTATATATGTCTGCTTAGTGGCGCTTCTCTCGACGGCCGCCGCCGTTGTGCACTAACCCCACACGAGAGTCACCATCCCAACGAAGCGCCGCTTCCTGTTCTATATAGCCGCAGTTCCCTTCTTTCCCCAATATATTCCATTGCTACTGTTCCCCCTTCTTTTCTTGGAACCGGTTGTTTTACTCTGGCGATTCCAGTTTTTCGGGAGGCCGAGGCCGTTGTTTGATCCTTGTACCCACCGGACTGCTTGCTATCAAGTCGGTGCCGCTCCGTTGTCTCATACATCCCATCTTTACTTGAGCAATACATCACTTGGTCGATATGGCTACTCAAACCGGGACCGCCTCGAGGAGGCCCAAGTTGTCCTTGTCCATCAAGACATCACCGGCTCCTCACACAAGGATTAAAAAGTCACTGTCTGTTGTCGACCCCAGGGATCCGACAGCTTTCAACACTCTCTCCAATGTCTATGTAACCGCCATTGAGAGGTCAACGTCTGAGCCGCTGACTGCCATCGACACTTCGCAACAACAGCCTTCGCGCTTGAAGACGGGCCCGAAGCCTCCCCAGCTACGCATCCAAACACCGTATGCCGTCTCATACCCCGAGACACCGTTGACCGCACATCCCATTTCCCCCGGTGTTGTGACGGAGATGACCTTTCCGAGTACCATGACCGCAACCCCGCCCCTGTCGGCTGGTCCCATGGACTCGAACGGCCCTCCGATGTTTGGGTTCTCTCCAATCGACACAAGGACCCCTTTGACAGCAATCGGAGTCACCAATCCGCCAGAGCCGCGTTCCCAGCGGAAACGCAACAACCTTTGCCTGTCGGGCTCGAAGCTGCCATACACTCACCCTCGCTCCCTTCACAGTATTCTTCGCAACTCGCCTCTTCCTCCTCCGAGTGCGAAGACGCCCATATCACCGCGGCGCCAATCGCTGCGCCTGCAGGAAAAGGCAGCCCGCCGGGTCGCTTACAACAGCCCGATCGAGCAAACCATCATCACGGAAACATACACCAGGTCTCATATTGACTTACTGGCCGAAGATGTGTCACCGGCGTCACCGACCCCGGCCCAGGAACCAAACAACGTCCTCGACCTTGCCATGGCTTTCACGAGCGACGAAACGCGCGACGGCGGCATGACCCCAGGGCCATTCGAGGAGATGAGGCGGCGAATGGCTGGGCTGGCAGCCAGCTCGCCGACGGCAAGCCCTTCGGGCGGGATCAGGAAGCGGAAGCGGAAGGAGAAGAAGCGCCGCTGGGTCTGGACCATAGGCAATCAAGAGGAGGATGAGGAGAACCTAGGCGGGGCAGTGGCGGCGTTGCGGGCGGCCGAAGCGGCGGGACAAATATCAGAGCCTGCCCAAAAGAGGCATACGGCGCCGGCGGTGCAGGCCTGCGGAGATCTCCCGACGCCTAGCATCGAGACGTTTGAGGAGGCCGGCGATATTGACATGTCAGACATGAGCAGCGTCTCTTGCGATCAGGGCCTCACGCCGGGGGATATGGATCTTGATCTAACGACGCCGACGGTGCCCAAGCGCCTCGTGTCACAGAGCGACTGGCTTGGATCAGCGGACCTGATTAACCCGGAGACCGGTAGCAGGCGGGACACGCCCATACCTTCAGATATGGCGGTCCGTTGACGCGGTGGTGGTGGACTGAATGTTATCTAATTTGCTTACGGTTGAAAGCGCTTGAGTCTCGCATTGGGTGGTGCTTGGAGTCGTCGAAAACGTGGCTTTGCGGGTGTAGGATATGTACTAGTAATCACTTTCAGGCTAATGATAACACGAAGCAATATGACCATCATGCCCTTCCTTGTTCATACCTATGATGAATGGCTGTGTGGTTTCCCAAGGCGCATTGGATCTAGGGAATGGCGTGGGATAGGGATTCAGCGGTCTCCGCCAAGCCCCTGCGGATGTTTGGGCAGCGAACTTCGCCGGCAAGGTGCCAATCAAACCGGCATGAAGTACAAACCGGCCAATGGATTGGCCCAGAGACGCATGATGAGGTAAGCCCGGCCGGCATTCGGAAACACCCACCTTATTGTCAGAAGCGGAGACAAGATCGAGAGTGGACTGACGAGGACGACCTTGGCTTGCGTAAGCGGTTGTGGTACCGGTATATTTGTGCCATAAGCCCTGCAAACGCAATCGTCGTCTCGGAACGGCGGCACCCATGTCCATGTCCGTGTCCACGAGCCGCACGGGAAAGCTTACAACAGACTGACCTCAACATAAAATTAGTACACGTACACCTGGGCTGAGATTTTTTTAGACCCTGAACTGAATCCACGATGATTCAACCGAATCGCTCGCATGGGTCCGTAGTCTTGATTTCTGTTTCCCCCTCTCATTAGGGAAGCACTGCATGTACCGAGCCGGCTGATTACCATCAGATGTATTCCCACAAACCAGCCGTCAATGAGCGGAGCAAATGGTCCAATTGCACACCCCTTGAGCTCTCCTACTTACTTTGCCAGCTGCTGCCAAGCTCGACAAAAGACAAACCTAAACCCGGAGCCAAGGAGCGATAACCCGAGGGAGCCACGCCAGCGAAAGCAGTGACCACCAATGAACACCATAGAACACGCGGCCAGAGCTGATGTCTTTCCCCAGCCATTTACGCAAGCACGTAGCGATCCCTGCCGCGGATCGGCCACAGCTCGTCGCATCGTTGTCACACAGCCCATCGAAGAGGGGGGAAAACAGGTATACAGGCTGGAAGGGTAGCGGGAATGTCGACCTCTATCTTTTCGTACAAAACGCCACGCACAACAATTCCGTCGCAGCCAGTTAGAACGTAGTAGTCCAGCCACAGTTCTGTGTTAGTGTACCTATTGTTGTGTGCGACCTCAAGAGGTACCACACTGCCTTGACAAGGTAGGTAGGTACCTTGCTTAGTACTTCGGCCGAGTGTACAGATACCGGCACCTTGGCTCGATGAACCATTGACCCAGAAGACAGTCTACCACTTACCTATAGAGAGGGAAAGGGGTACAAAGTAAAGGAATGACGCCGAAAAAGGAGCAGAGAGGCACGGAGGGGGAGGGAAGGCGAGGGATGAAAGAAGCAAGAATTATGGCAGGCGTTCGGGCCGTGGAGACTTGTTCCGTCATCATCATAGGCTGCAGGGAGCTGGGGGTGCTTGCCGGGGGTGGGGCCAAACCGTCACTTAGTGGGCTTTTCAGCAGTAGGTCGCAAGACAAGCTACGTCATTGACCATCACAGCTTCCCAGCCAGTCCAACCCGGAATGCAAGCTGCAGCTGAAAAGAAGGAAACTCGACCAAGCTAAGGTGCCGGTTGTGTGTGTGTGTTAGAAGGGTGCAATGGGTGAAGCTGAAGGAGCTATGAGGCAATCGGAGGGGCGCCTTTTCCACCTTCTGGCCAGCTTTTTTAATGCTGTTTCTCAGCAATCCGCGTCCCACATCGCTAATATTTGTATATCGCATCTCCCAAGCTCTTGAACCACCGCTCTTTCGGTTCTGTTGGCCGGATTACTTGATGCCGATTGTCTTCGCCTTCTCGTTCATTCAACCATAGACGCTGGCTAACTGACGGAGCAATACCTGCTTTCGTTTTGGATTCGACTGCATAATTCCAGCTACGACTGATTGCGGGGTTGTGCATGGGAGCAAGATGAACATTGACGAGCACAAACTGCCCACCGGCGGCCAGCATTACAGCGCCCGGAATAAGATCCCCAACATCCACGAGTTCGTCGCCCAGCTCGACAAGGAGAAGCGGGAGCGCGATGCTGCCATCGAGGCTGAGGACAAGGAGCACCTGAAGATTGAGAAACAGGCCCAACACCAATCCAACGGCAATTCTTCCAAGGTCCATGTCCCCGAGAAGAAGGACCGCAAGAAGACCAAAACGGTTCGGGACCCCGTCACTGGTAAAGATGTTGAGATAGAAAACCCCAAGGACGACTTCAAAGAAGTCGTCGATAACCCTCAGGTAGACAAACGTTACCTCATATTCTGTCTGCCATGCTCAAAATGATCATGCTAACATGGCAATGGTGCAGATTACCGTTCCCAACCAAAATCTCGGCAAGGATGCCACAATTGCCACGTCCTCGGACCAGTCAGGCGAGGAGTACCGATACGCGCAAGACGTTACAGCACCCCCCGCTCCAGTCGAGCCCGGAAGCACAACCGACGTGCCAATTCACAGCGAAAAGACCAACGTCAACTTCTTCAAGACCCCGAGTGTTAGCTATGAGCCCATGTTCGAGCACGTTGAACGGCGAGCCAACGTATTGTGCGCCGGAATCTTCTTCAGCATCATCATTGTCGGCAAGTTCTTCGGCGGAGCACTCTACGGCCTGATCCCTCTCGGGTTCTGCGTTGCGTCCGGTGTTTTCTTGTGGGTGAAGGACCTCATCACCCAAGGTAGAAATATGGAATGGTCTAGTGAAAAGGACCGCGGTGAGACCGCCACGGTCAACCTTGTTCCCGAGTCCGTTGAGGTAATGACCGTTTCTCCCCGGCTGCTGCTCCTCCTTTGCTAATAAACTGTCAGTGGATGAATACTGCTCTGGGAATCATGTGGAATCTGATCAACCCTGAGATGTTTGCAGGTGTTGCCGACACCCTCGAGGACGTCATGGTTGCTTCAGTTCCCGGAGTTATTGAGAATGTCCGTGTCGCCGACATCTCCCAGGGAAGTAACCCGCTTCGAATCCTTAGCTTGCGCGCCCTCCCGGATCACCACGTGCAAGACATCAAGGACGAGGCCCACAGACAGAACCAACGGAACACCGATCCCAACGAGCTGGCGGCCATGGAGCAGGCCGGTTCCTTCTACAACTTGGAGGCGTCGGTCGCATACCATGCGAAGCCATCCGGTGCTGACGTCTCGTCTAAAGCCCGCAACATGGGGATGCAACTCGTCTTTTACCTAGGTGTCAGGGGCCTATTTGGGGTTCCCCTTCCAATTTGTGAGTAAAAAACGATTCCATCTTGCGAAAGCATTGTCTGACTGCTTGTAGGGGTTGAACTTCAAGGTCTCGTCGCTACGGCCAGGATCAGACTCCAGCTTACCCCTGAGCCTCCTTTCCTCAAGACCCTTACCTTCACACTCATGGGTATTCCCAAGGTTCAAGCGGGCTGCACCCCAATGATTGAAAAGGGTGTCAACATTCTCAACTTGCCCCTCATCTCTAATTTCGTGAACTGGGCTATAGGCACCGCTGCTTCTATGGTAGGTTTGGCGACTCTTGAGCCATTGGGTCCACCGCTAACAACGATGATAGTACGTGGCCCCCAAAAGTATGACGTTGGACTTGAGCAAGATGCTCCAGGGCGACGACATTAAGAAGGAGACTCTCGCCCTCGGTCTTCTCTTCATACGTATCCACAAAGCAGTCGGTCTCAGCAAGCAGGATCGTCGGGGCAGCGAAGGAGGAGGCTCTGATCCTTACATCACCATCGCGTGGAGCAAGTTCTCGAAGCCTCAATTTTGCACTCGTGTCATTCAGGATGACTTGAACCCCATCTTTGAGGAAAGCTGTGGCCTTTTGGTCACTGCCGACCTAATCAAGGCAGATGAGCAGCTCTCGGTCGAACTGTGGGACAGTGATCGCTCATCGGCGGACGATATCGTTGGCAAAGTCGAATTGAGCATTCAAAAGCTTATACAGCATCCTGGCAAGATGTTCCCTCAGGTTTCGAAGCTTGCTGGCGTCAAGGCTGATACTTCGATGCCGGGAGAGCTCCACTGGGAGGTTGGCTTCTTCGGCAAGACCCAGTTCCGCAAGGCTCTTCGCACCGATGGTAAGGATGTCAACCTGCCTCCTGAACTGAAGGATAAGAGGGAGCTTCAGGACGAGAAGGGAACTATAGAGAACGAAGAGGAAGATGCCGTTGAGCACACCCCGCCCGATCCCTTGTGGCCCTCTGGAATCCTCAGCATCGTTGTCCATCAAATTGTTGGATTGGAGCTTGCCAACGTCAAGGGCTCCAATGGTAATCGCAAAGGTCGCGAGTATGAGCCTGCCCGTCTCGATGCCGGCGAAGTCAAGGAAGAACAGGGAAGCAAGTTGCCAAGCTCCTACTGCACAATTCTTGTCAACGATGAGTTGGTCTACAAAACACGTACTAAGGCGGTGTCCTCGCAACCTATCTTCAACGCCGGCACGGAAAAGTTTATTCGTGACTGGCGATCAGGCGTCGTTACCATCACTGTTCGAGACTCGCGCAACCGTCAGCACGATCCAATCATCGGTGTCGTACCTCTCAAGTTATCCGACATCCTGCAAACCGGGAGTGAGGCCACAAGATGGTACCCTTTGGACGGCGGGGTTGGGTACGGAAGAATCCGCATCTCGATCCTCTTCAGATCCGTTGACCTTCGCCTACCGCCAACTCAACTGGGCTGGGACGTTGGCACGTTCGAGTTCACCTGCCGCGAAATTACAGCAGTCGGTTACGGTCACTTGAAGACCAAGGTCAGACTCCGCACGGGCGGAAGCTCGGCCAGCATCAAGAGGAACACGTGCACCAAACTTGAGGGCCAAGAAGGGTTCTCCTGGGACATTAGTGGCGAGAACAAGCATGGCAAGATTCGGCTACCTGTCCGTTACCGTTACCGATCCCCCGTCTTCTTTGAATTCTACCCGCCAGGCAAGCGTCGCGCCGAGGCATTTGCGTCACTATGGCTGCAAGATTTCCCTGATCAAGAGGAACAGGATTTCGACATTCCCATCTGGAGGTGCGACAAGGGTCTACGTCTGTCGCAGAACTATATCATCGAGAAGAATTTCAAGGACGTGCCTGATATTCACATTGAAGAGCTTGGCCGACTCAAATTCCGTGGTCGCTTTTCCCCCGGGACCGACCGTGACCACATCAAGTTCGTCACTGACAACGATTCACGCGAGACAATCGAGACGTGGGAAGCTTGTTTCGCAGAAGGTGTTCGAGGCGAAGAAGTCAAGGCTGAAATCCCCCCCGCAGTACAGAAGCTTCATGACGAATCTCTCACTCATGGCCGAGACGTTCTTGCTCAGGCTGATCCAAAAGAGAAAGCGAAGTGGCTGTCCAAAGATGGGACGGACT